ATGGGAAGGTTGAAGTGAATCCTGTTCACGTTCGTGCGTTCGACACGTGGATCCGTACCTACCATGCATTTCGTCACAAAAACTTCCGGTCCCGCCCACTGGTCCATGGTCCGTGGAAGATTCCTTTAATCCAAAATAACGGTTTGTTTGCGGTTTTTGGTTTGTGACGATTTGTTTTGAGGTAAAAATTATAGCATTCTTATATGTGCACAATTCCGCCATCAAGCGGGCACTCCAGTCTCAATAAGTCCCAAAACTGTGGTAGTGCCTTTGACTACGAAGTGGTACACATGTGTACCACCAGTAGTCAAAGGGTTTAGCGGCAGTCCCAATCACACCCTAAACGCAAAGAGGGTCCAGTTCATTGGTGCCGCCCAATTATCTCATCAAAATCGTAGCTCCCTCCAACCGTCGTGATCATTATTTTTAAGTCGGATAAAATGATTTTAGGTTTTTGCATACATACCTTGTAGGTCGTTCTCAAATTACTCTCAGTCTGTCAAACTTTCTATTCCTTCATAGACCATTGGAAACTATCTGAATGGGCGAACGAGTTTTACTGAAGGAGGGCTCAAACATGATGTGAGCGCGAAAGTTGCTATGTAGTTCACACACATATATTAGTATTAGTGATAAATGGTTTCGCGTTTTTGAATGAGGCTAAGCGCATGGCGCATCAAGAAGGGCCAGTCGATGTTGATCTCTCCAGTTTTCTTTTGTTCTGTTTCTTACCCTCTCCCTTAATTTTGTTTAGAGATACCATGTGCAATAATAGCTGCAGACCGTTTTCAGTATTACTCCTATAATAGTGTACTACTTCCATTTGATTGACCAGCGAAAGTATAAGTATGCCACTAATGTCCGACTTCGGCTACGCTACATTCACCGAAACTTTCTAATCTTTTTGTGAATGTTCGTTTCAATTCGAACGCTTTTATTTCAGTTTCATAATTTTAATTTCTCGCGCAATCGCTGAAATGCATAAGCAGTCGACTCCACGAAAAATCCGTGTATTGGATGGTTCTTTCAGCGCAGAACTGACAAATGTCGTCAGCGGTTTCTTCAACACGGTAGGGGAGGCTTTCTTTAATGAAAATTTTGTAACTCACTTCGTATCACTTCAGGAAAGACCGAATTGGACCTTTGATGCTGTTCTATATGAGCCAGAAGCGGTTGAGATGGTTCACAAAAGGTGTGAATTGTGAGCTTAAGTTCTTCAAAAAAGGAAAAGAATCTGTCGAAAGCGCCAAGCTCAGAGCTTCCTCACTTTTGTGGGTGAGAGACTGAGCATGAGGGGGGAGAATAAGTGAGGGAACAACGGACGGGAGTGCGCCATACTCCCCCACGCTATGGATGAGATAAAATGGAAGCGGTTTAAGCGAACTTCGATAGGGCCCACGCCCTTGTTGCGCCCTTCAGAGCTGGGGGGATGGGATATCTGCGGCCTTTGTTGACATTCTACCGTACCCACCAAAAGGACTCCTACACCTGAGCCAGGTGGGTTGCGCCTCTAATTGTAAACCATCGATTCCAAGCCGCTTGAGGAAACACCGCGAATTGAGAATTTCTCGCTACGAAGCTTACTGAACGGCAATTTCGAATAAATTCAAAGGCGAGATATCGCTCGCAGAAGCCTATTGAAAACATGGACCTTATTCCGAAGCAGAGTTTTATCACACAATTCTTGCATACAACTATGCTTCATTGTCTTCCCTACACCTTCTGGTCAACCCTTGTAATATTAATACATTAGCGACGAAGCATACAAGATTTGGGTACCATTTTTCTGAGCTACTCTAAACGTTGGGGTCATCATGCTACGATTGAAACTTCAGATGTGTATGAATTGCGGAGTAAAGTCTTTTCTTGCATGTAAGCACAGGTTTTCCTCATGCAAAATAAAACACGCCCAGTGATTTGGCAGCTTGCAGTTTCCGTCATATGGATACGGTTGAATCCTTTGAGGCTAGTTCTCATGAATGAAATGCAGTTGTGATTGGTTCTAAGAAGTTGAAGAAACCTGTAAAAATGGTCATTGTTCAAGGTGCGGAGTGGCAATGGTTTCACTAGTTTATTACCAGTTTCTTCCTCATTATCACTCTTTAGACATAAGATATACTCGCTATACCTTCTAGGAGTTAAACAAATGTGAGTTCGAGGTCAAAGTACGACGGCGCTGATTCGCTCCTCTTCGCTAAATTCGGCTTGCCGTAGAAATTTTTTGATCACATCTATCGAGAAGTGTTTATTTGAGATTTGCTGACTATTCATGCCTAGGATGCCTCCCACAGCAGAGCCGTTTATGCTGCTACGCTCCCGCAAAAAAGATCTCCTGCCACCCAGGTCAAGTCCTCTCCATAGCATTTTTTGGCCCTGTAGGCACTGCGTATAGGATCCGATAAATAAAGCAAACTTTGTACGTCGTTGTTGTGGATGACTAATTTGAGAATGCAGGGTGAGTGTTGAAATTTATTTCACTGCCAAATGCATGAACGTCTTCTTTTGTTCTGATGCGATTTCGCTTAGATTCATTGACGCTGGTGTTGATGACATTGAAACGAATACGTACCACGCGTCCCTGTCATCTCTCGAACAGCAAGGCCTTAACGGTTCGGAGCTCATTAAGGTAAGAAACCCTGTTTGGATTCACTCTTTAAAAGAAAAAGTCAAGAAATTGCACAGAAAGCAGTTATTTTTGCTATACGTTTTTTTGAGAGAGCTAGTTCTAAGCATTCAGCCAAAAGGTTGTCGGAAAAGCATTGTCATTTTTTTTTGCTGCTTGACCACCAAGCCATAGCGGTTTTTGAACTGAAATTTTCCTTCTGAAGCCCAATTTTTTTACAGCAACTGATATACTATTGGTGGCTACTCCTACGTTTTGTTTAGATATTCAGTCTGAATAGGTCGAAGTGTAGGCTTAGGTGATAAGGTGCCCAGTCCACGAGAATGGCCACAATATTTCAAGAAACAAATTTCCTAGAAGACGATAAAATGAATCAAGCATACGTTTCAAAATTAGTCATTACTTCTTCCTGACATTCAACTAGTACTTAATGCCTAGGCTTTAAGAATTTTTGGGGGGATTTGACGCGATAGTGCCACACCAGCGAGTTCTGGCGAAAAAATCATGATTGAAAGAAAAGATGAAGCGACGTTTTGGAAAACCTTATAGTGGAACGTTCACAATACATCGTGATTAAGTGGAAGGTTCATGCATCATTGGTCGATATCTCCTATCTTTTGTTGGAAGATACGTTAGACCTAGTTGTCAGTTCGCCTAATTTTCCACTACTGCGTCGACTGGACCTTCAATTTTGCAGGCTCAAAGCGAGACGATATTAGGATGGGTTTATAGTGGAAGTGGAGATGCTGAATAATGCCCCAGTGGCGAAAAAAGCAAAGAAATCCGTCAAAAAGGCGCAAAATGGGACCCCTTTCTTTGCCCGTTGACCTCCGATAATGGACGAGCTAGCAACCAAAGGTCGTTTGCACATGTTAACTGATAGCCTCCATCATGCCAACAACCATCATGCTTTGATGATAACGCTGTCCACATAAAGGTTATGGGATAGGCCGCTAAGGCCGATGTCAGACTTTGCGAATCGCGCGATTCGCTAGCGTCTGCGGTCGCGTCGCGGCCAGTGAATCACTCAATTGGCTGGTACCGCAACGCGACCGCGGACGCTAGCGAATCGCTCGATTCGCAAAGTCTGACATCGGCCTTAGGGCCTATCCCAT